CTCCTCCTCCTCCTCCTCTTCTTCTTCTTCTTCTTCCTCCTCTTCCTCCCTCCTCCTCCTCCTCCTCCTGGGTGTATCTGTGTGAGCCACTTCTAAATGTTTCTGGATATTCTGGACTTAAAAGTGTTTTCGCTCCCTTTGTCTAGGTAATGGCCTTTTCTTATCCTCATCAAGGCCATCTTTCTTACTTTCTACAGAAGAGGTCTAGAGTGGAGGAAGATAGTTCCTGCCCTAACTACGTAGCTAGATAAGTCCTGAAGAGTACAGTAAATGATTTGGAAGTATAGCTGTTGGGCAACCAATCTCATAAGTTCAGGATGATTGAAACTGAACAATACAGGAAAACCGGTAAACAAGCAATAAAAGTTCAATTCAACATCTGCCGTCTTCAAGATATTACAAGCAGGGAAAGTGAGGAAATAGATGTGGAACAGAATCCCCCCCCCCCCTAAAAAAAAATTCCTTATGGATTGTGTTCTGAAGGTATTTAAAAAGTCTTTGAAAACCTCAGGTAGGGATGGGTGATTGCCATACAAAATGAGCTTTTGTATGTCTGTTTGAACATTTTTCCTTCTGGACACACATTGTTCTTTTCTTTGTTTTATTGATTTTACTGTTTTTAATGTTACACGTTGCCCAAGGTCTTTATGAAGTTGAGTGACCTTGCAGAAAAAAAAGGTAAAAGACACAAATTGATGCCATTTCAGATCACTGCACGTACTTTTAAAGCCAAGTAGTGTTAAATTGCCCTTTCTCTCTCCCCCCCACCCCAATAAAATAGTGGAAGAGTGGCTGTTTTCAGATAACAGCTAAGGTGGAATTGTGCATGGATATCCATTCTTCTTCATCAGATAAAATAAAAGCTCGCTTTCCTTTCCTGTGTTATTATCAGCCAGGAGAGAAGATGATTTCAAAAATAGGAGTGTGATCAATATGAATAAGCAATGGTGAGGAAAACACTGGGGGAGAAATGGCTCTCATGGAAGCTGACTACAGACCACAGGGAGACGTGCATGCCTGCATCACTAGACACTCTTAAAACACACTCTAATCACACCCAGAGCAGCTGACTGTGCCTCCAAGATAAAGGGTGCCAAACTGTTAGAGATTAAGCATATCTTGAATAAGGTCAGCTTAAGTGGAGAAAGCCTATTTTTATACTGGTATGCTTGGTGACAACATAAGATCGTTTCATTCATAAGCTGGGGATGAAAGGATGTGTGTGAACCAGGGTTATTATCTACATTAGACCATAACTGGTTCTGACAGTAATTGGACTGATTAGCTCTTCAACCTGCAAAATACTGAAGTAGTTAATAATCACTAAGGAGCAGCGTGTTTTTAAAAAGAGCTATTCCCCACCCCCACCCCAAGATTGATTTAAAAAGAAACAGTAAATCCCAACAAAACCAGTTTGATCAGGATTATGTAGTACTGAATTACTAAGATATCAATTAGGACTGAATTTTCTCTTTTCTCAATATCACAAATAGAGCAAGAACATGCTCTAAATAATGTAATTTAACTAAAACTAGAATGAAACTTTTGAGGAATTCGGTGGTTTTAGGTTGTGAGATTGACCCAAAAAATAATACTCTTTGAGCTGAATAGTATTGCTTAATAAAAAAAACATTGTCCCCTGGAGAAAAATGAAGATGTGAGGAAAATCTAGTTTGATATTCATCTTAAGTGTAGATGGTGAAAACGGGAATGTTTAGAGAGAAAGTTTGTCCTTATATGATACACAGATAATTAAAACAGTGTTAAAGGCTTTACTATTTATGAGGCACCAACTGCAATTCTAAACACATTGCATGCTTCCCTGTATAGAGCTGAGTTGAAGTAGTATATAATTTTCTTTCTAGAGTCCTATTGAATTAAATAGGCTCATGTATCTTTAAAATGTAGAATAAATCTTCATCCATAAAACCACAGTTGTATACACCAAGTTCTACTAACACGGATCAATAGTGCTGGAGTCTCAAGATAACCAATACAATTAGAGTTAAGATATTAATTCACCACACCCACAGGAAATACCGTGCAAACAATTTAATTGGGGCTTTCATTTCTGTCCTACTTGGAGAAGCTAAAACATGTGTAAGAGTTTAGTTGAAATGTGTATAGTAATTTTAATCAGCTCTGACAAACCAGATTGTACCAGCTAGTTATCATCCCTGATGTGAAGAACACATACATAACAGCAACCATGTTAAATCAATTAAACAGACCGATTTAGGACTCTCATAAATGTTTGCATCCATATTGTAGCAAAGCTTTGTTGAGGGATGGTGACTGATATACTCAAACAACTTCTTGTCTCCTCTTCAGTTGTGATCTTGCAGAGTCTTAGTCAGTGGTGGGATGCAAACGGTTTAACGGTTTAACGGTTTAACGGTTTAACAGTTAGGTGAGTGTGTGCTTTGCGTGTGCCTGCAACATTAAAAAAAACCCAACCTTTTAAAGTTTGAAAACTTACCTTCAATGTCAACACCTGTGAGTAAAACAGCTGATGCGCGGCAATCCACTGTGCCACATGAATCAGCTGAGCTAAAAACTAGGGACATATAGGACAGGAAAGCACAGGATTGAGTGGGCGGGGCCAAATGCTCACCGGAACTACCGGTTTGCCTGAACTGGCTGAATCCCACCCACCCCCCGTCTTAGTGCAGTACAATGTGGCTCAGTCAGTGGTGAAATTCAATTTTTTTTACTACCGGATCTGTGGGTGTGGCTTATTGGACATGGCAGGGAAAGGATATTACAAAATCTCTATTCCCATCCCACTCTGGGGCCAGCCAGAGGTGGTATTTGCCGGTTCTCCAAACTACTCAAAATTTCCGCTACCGATTCTCCAGAACCTGTCAGAACCTGCTGAATTTCACCCCTGGGCTCAGTCTTTTCAAGTCTAACTACTGCCTCACTGTTGAACAACAGAACACCTGATGTTCCCACTCGTCTCTCTTTTATCATATGTCCCACCTCAGTAGGGATAAGAGAGAAGAGAAGGAATGGCAGGCTCCACATCTCTTTTCCTCCTGTCCAATGCAACCATCTGTGGATTGGGCTCAGAGGCAAGTAAGTAGGCTGAGGGACAATGAGACATTCCAAATTGTTTGTCTCACTGGAGTGGTTTCTCAACATCTGGAGCTGACACGTTACAATACTGGCATGTCCATATTGGTCATTCCTACTTAATTGGCCGAACGATATGCAAGGGTATCTGCAAGGGTATCAAAGAGGTCAAGATGATGGCTACTACCTTAAAATAGACCCCACTACCCCCTTTTTACATGCACCAGGGCTTTGAGTGCATGGTTGAAATGTAGCCACCTTCTTAGCTTTTAAAATTCATGTAAAAGGAAAAGGATGGAGCTTTGATTGCAAAGATGGAGCTGCCATCCTGACCCCATGAACACTCCTAGAGACATGGCAATAACTAATGACGATGTTGTGTTCTCCCCCCCCCCCCTTTTGCATAGAGTGAAGTCCTGGGCTGACTCCTTTGGTGAGGATTTGTATTATATTGTCACAAAATATTCTGGCTCCCTCTTATTACAGAAGGTAAGTAACAAATGCTGCATATTTTTGTAAACACTCCTAAATAATAGAATATAATCTTTTTTTTTTTTGCTCTCTTAAAAAAAAACATTATAGAAGTATCAGCAGCAATGGATTTCACATTTTGTTTCCACTGGTTCGCCGTGCCTTATGCGCATGTGCCCAGCCTCAAAAATGTGCCTAAATAAGATGGCATAGACCCAGGGCGAGTGGGTAGACCCACTCACTATTTCTGCTACTGGTTTGGCTGAAACGGTTCGGACCTGCTGAGTACTACCTCTGAGTATCAGGATGTTTATCCATTCTTCAGAATCCTTTTGGTTTTTTTCTGAAATCCATATTTATCAACAGACACTGGATATTGGCATCAGCAGCAGAACATCTGATGTGGAAGGTGTTTATGATTTCAGTAGTTCCAGTAAATAAATCTTGACCTTTACATGGAAAATTCAAAACAGTGGACAGTTCAAAAGATTGTTTGTTTAGCAAATGAATTTCTTTTCAGATTAAAACCAAAGCTATGAGATATGCTGGCTGTGGTTGGTTATATAAAGATTAATTTTACCAGAAGATGTAGAGCTGCTCTGTTGGTTTTTTATAACCTCTGAAGTATAAAAATGAATAGAACACGGAAATTATTATCCACAAAATTTAATTCAGTTTATAAAATATGTTTTGTGAACTCCCTACTATACCCAAATTATCCTGTAAAAATATATTTTGTTCACCAGCTATTGGAATAACAATGATTGGTATAGGATTTTGTCTGGTTTTGCTTCAATGTTTTTCCATGAGATTTTTTTTTCTTGGTATTTTGCAATGTTCTTATGAAAATCATAGTTTAAGTTTCTAAATGTTGTTGGAAGGGATTATGGTTGAACACACATAGACACACACACAAACAAGATTCCCTTGGGTGTTCTTAGCTCCCAGACCTACCTAAGAAAGCTTTTGCAAGTGGTTATCACTATGATCATATGATCAAAATTTGGGTACTTGGCAACTGATATGTACTTGTGATAGTTGTCCTGCCCAGAATTCATGTGATAATTATTTGTAAGCTTCTGACACACAAAGTGGATGGGAAAAGCCAGGTTTGCTTAACACCTGAATGGTTCACTTAACAATTGCAATGATTTGCTGAACTGTGTGTGGGTGGGAGGTCTTAAACTGAGGCACAACTCACTTAACAGCTATCTTGCTTAGCAATGGAAAATTTGGTCTCCATTGTGTTCATAAGTTGAGGACTACCTATTTAACACAACATAACCAGGCAGAATTGGGGGTGGGGGTGGGGGAGGCAATGCTTACTCTTCTTTGGAGTATGTGAAAATATTTTGCTCCATTTCAAAACAATTGCAATTCTACTTACAGTGCTGGATGGATGCATTCCAAAGCATTCTTCTTCAAATAGAGCCATTCATGTTAGCTTAGCACAGGGGTCAGCAACCCATGGCTCTGGGGCTGCATGTGGTTCTTTCATCCCTCTGCTGTGGCTCCCTATCGCCGTTTGGCGCCACAACTTTGAGAGGAGCTTCTGATTGGGAGGGAGGAAAAGCACAGCGCACCAGGAGGAGATTCTATGGCAGGGGGTGAGTTTTCCGGTCAGTTCCACAATTGATAGGGCTTTCGGTTAGGACAGGTAGAGGAAAAAGGACTCTGCGCTAGGAGGAGACTGTGCTAGGGAAACTGGACTTCCGGTTGGCTCCAGAATTGAATGGGGGCTTCCGGTTAGGATCTTTGTGGCTTTTTGAGTGTTTAAGGTTGCTGGCCCCTGTTCTGGGTGGTCTTCAGGGGCAGCAGTATTTTTTATATTTATTTACTCAATTTTTATAGTCATCCCTGGCTTAACTCTATCCCTTGTAAATGGAATGTTTTGGGTAATAAGATCCATTTCCTCAAACATGCCCCTTTTTCCTGTGAACAAGGGTTTCCAACAAGAATTTTTTTGACAATATATTTTTAATGAAAAATAATTGAGATTATAAAGAGAGAACTAAAAACTTGGGGCATGAAATGATGTATAACTATACAATATTATTATGAGAAACTGTAACCAGGCCCACACTTTGCCCGCAAAATAAGCTTTTTGTGGGGGGGGGGGGGGATAAAAATGTAATTGCTCTATATGTATACTTTTTTTAGGATAGATGTTTAAATTATTAATATGAAAGATGTTTATTGAAATGAAACTACTAACTCCATCAACATTAAATTGAGCCAGCTCAGAAGCTGAAATACACCATGCAAGCGAGATGAAGTGAGTGGAAGAGAGAAGGGAGACAACAGGAGGAAGAGAGGGGTTAAGAGAGAGGGGGGGAAGAGGAGGAGAGAAAGAAGGAATGGAAAGAGGAGAAGGAGAGAGGAAGAGGAAGTAGAGAAGAGAAGGATGATAGAGGGAAGAAAGGAGGTAGGGAGGAGGAAAGAGGGAGAAGAGGCAAGAAAGCGATGGATAGGGTATAAATATGGTGTATGGAAAGCAGAAGAACAAGTGATAGTCTTTGCGGGTTGATGGTAAGAGGAATTGATATAATATTGAACAATACAAAATAGTGTTGGTCATGATGTAATGGTGTATATGTGGTTATTTTTATGAAAATAAATCAATAAATAAATTATAAAAAAGGAATTTTTTGACAAATGGCACTTTATGATTACTATAAATCATTAGACATATATATATATATATATATATATATATAT